GCGAAGGTCGTGAGACAAGCGTCGTAACATCTCCATAAACGTAGTACACGCGCAGTACACGCGTGGCAAAAACGCTGCGAAAATGGTAACATTTGCAACGGCGACTTCATGGATCTGTCTCATCCGATCTGCCGAACTGTTTCATGCCGATCTGTCTCGGCCACGGCCACGGCCTCGGCCTCTGGTAGCTTGTTTCTTCGGCATCGCGTTTCTACTCAGCAAACGCACAATTATACAGTTGAAATTTCCGAAAATCTGACCAGCTTATATAGTCGCCGTGAGAACGTGGTAGAAACGCCGTGAGGTCGCCGTGCAGTCGCGATACACGTAGAAGACGCGTGGTAAAAACCCCATGAGCGTGGTGAGAGCGTCGCGGGAACGCCGGTGATCGCCGTTGCCAAGCCCATAGATCTCAATAGAAACGCCATAAGCGCGGAGAGGTCGTGGCGGGCGCGCCGTGAGAACGCGGTATGATCGCGGTTTTTTTTCAAGTTTGTAATTTGTTGGGACTTTTTCTCGCGTTGTGTTCGCGTTTGCCGGCGACCTTGTACATTTTCTGGTCGCCGTACGGTCGCGGATGGTCGGCGTCCGGTGTGACGGGGGTATTCGCGTTTGCCGGCGACCTTGTACATTTTCTGGTCGCCGTACGGTCGCGGATGGTCGCCGTCCGGTGTGACGGGGGTATTACGCGTTCACACGACCACGGCCAGCGTGGTGCCGAATGTGATTCCGCGCCGAGTAAGCCACGTATTTCAGTACGGTACTGAATAAGCCGCGTATATTTTTAGCGTGTGAATATACGCATGGACTCGTATAGCTTGTATTGACTCGTACATTGTAATATACAAGTTAGACTCTAGTTATTGTGTCTATTGAGCCTATTGGTCTTTAGTGTCTATGCATTTTTATGGGAGCACCCCATCGTAAACGCACAGATAGCTTATTATATTATACTAACGACGAATAGAACCTATTCTCTCGTATTCACTTCAGACGGTGTATGTATATTGACATCGCATTTTGAGCCATTGGCTTGAACATGGAACCATGGCAAAGAGACGTGGAAGAATGAATAATTAACTGAGTACCTCAGTCCTCAGTATATACACGAATCACAGTATATCATTATTCACACAACTCGAGACATATGAACGATTAAATGAATGATGAGATAGGATCTTCTGCGTATTACTTGCTACATGCTGCTTATGTTAGTATAGCTAGTAGTACTATATATATAACTATTCGTGGATGCTCACCTGACTTGCACGTTCTGTATGGCGACAACTGTATTGCTATGGACGGACGAAGATTGACATATAGCACGCTATACACATGTGGATATATATATTTTATACACGTCTCACACTGAACGCGGTGATGGTGTCTTGAACCGGTATAGTGGAAGGAACTCAACAGGCAAGCAGGTGGGCAAGCAATGTAGCATGTGTAAGGAACGCAACGTAGTCAGTCTAGGCAAACATGCCTTCCAAGGACATCAGCCACCCGTGAAACGCTCCCAGATCACTTGCTGCGACATAGACGGACGCCAACGTCGTGGCCTTGTCGTGGCCTTGTCGTCGATCCGGTCAACTGGTATCACCAAGGAGCTAAATATAACATAATGTTATATTATATTTAGCTCCTTGAGTATCACAACCGCCATATCCACATAAGGGTATCTATATATTCAAGCCGGTACGCGAGATTACTTAAAGTCAATATATTGATAAATTCTAGATACCTATAGACACATGTCTTAGCTATACTCTCTGTGAATATTAGAGTTTACTGACGCACGATTAGTCAATATATTAGCAAATATAATCGTACCGTAATCTCCCGTACCGGCTTGAATATAGACCTCCCCTATCCACATCGCCATATCGGACAGTCCACGCCGCCATATTGAGATCAGATAAGAGGTGGTATAACATGGGTAGGATAAGACTATTCTAGGTTTTTAATCTATAATTTTCTTCACTAACATCATACTTCAATTCACAGGTGCGTCTCTGTTAATAAACATAAACATTTCCAAATATGATTGTGGTCATTTGGGGGTATTTTGCAATGTTTGTGTTAATGCAAAAACTAAAAACGCACGAGTTTACATCAATCGTGTACCTTCCTAAGCGCGCCTCGGCCATAAAGCCGGGCGCCCACGTGGCGATTTTTATCGCTAGGACTTTGTTGCCGGCGACAGAATCGCCGAGAGATCGCCACGTGTGCGCTGCATGGCGATGGCGATTTTGACGCCAGAAACTCGTCACTGGAATATCAAACATGTTTGATGTTTGTTGCCGAGTCGCTGAACAATCGCCACGTGTGCGCTGCACTGGCGACGGATTCAGGCAACAGTTTTTGGATTAACCATAGATATAGAAGAAGATATCTTCTTCTATATCTATCGATTAACTAATCATATGCATGATTTGAAGCACGTGATCAAATATGGCAGCGCCCTTGGTGTGGGAAAAAAACAGGAGAATGAGTTTGTTGAAATGTAGCAGGAACGCCCGTGTCTTTTTGACATTACGAGTGACATTGCAGGATCGCCGGGTCCCGCACACGTGTGCGCCGGGCTCAAGGTAGCAATTGTAAGGTAAGATTGCGATTGAATGCGACGCAAGTCACGCGACGCGACGCAATTGCAACTCACTGCGACTGAGAAGCTGAGGAACACTGGCAGTTCTTAAGAAAGTAGTTTCTAAAGAAAGACACAGTTCTTAAGAAAGTAGAAGCACAGAAGGTTAAAATCCTCAGTGATAATAAAAAGCAAGCGCGCTGCATGCTAGGGGGGTCTGGGGGCAGGCCCCCCCTGAAATTTTTTGAATGGTAGACGTCTGGAAATGCAATCTGGTGAGTCTTGCGAGAGATATTTAGAAACAAAATGTAGGAACAAAATTTTTTAACCCAACATTTACTGGAAGCACTGTGCTTCCAGTGCTTCTATCTGCGGGCGCCACTGCTGAGGAATATACGGTTATGGGTGTGTGGGTGTATGTCTATGCCAGCTTCGATTCGAGTAAAAAAAATATCGTTATGTACACGCGAATGTCCCTTACACAAAGTAGTATTAAAGTAGACGCGAGTTATCCTATGCGTCTTGGACGATGCGAAAAGCCGCGTTTACTAAAGAAGTGCGAACAGACGGAAAAGGTCGAAGCACGCGGGGTTTGAAAAAGCGTGCGTTTTTCGAAAGGTCGTGTATACGCGACTATATATAGACTTCGTATAATTTCAACTCTGTGACAGATAAAGAGCCGCCATAGAGGTGAAACGACATTGCACTTGAGCTTTGTGCTTGCCGCATTATTATTGATATATTATTATATATGTTTCATATTTCATAAAGGGTTTAGCATATTTTATTAAACATATTTGCACGTTATTGCTTATACTTTTAATATATTATAATAAACAGATGCAAAGACATGCCTCTGAATGTGTGTTTGCTAATGTGGTTTGTTACTGTTACGAATGGTTATAGTGATTATTTCATCACAGGATCCGTGAAATACTTCAATAAATCATAACATTAATGGCACACTCATGAAAACGTGGTATTCACCAAGCATGATTGTTTTGATGTAGAGAGTCATTGCAGATTTTGCCAGTGGCGGAATTAATGCCTCAGAAATGATTGCACAAAAAATAGATAAGTCTCAGTCAAGCCTTGTCTATTTTATGTTACATGTTTTTAATTAGTGGATTTATATCCTACAAAACGATAATTTTATAGAATTATAGTGTACAAGGTTTGCATCAATGATTGCTACGTAGAGCGCAGGTTCCGAGTGTTTACGATCAAAATTAGTGAACGCCTAGCATATGTGGAAACGTAATACGTTGTACAATTGGAAATTCATACGTTTTTTTTCATTGACGTATAAAGTGCTTTCAATGACAAATAATAAAAATGAAGAAATTGAGAGCTCTACTGGTACATAGAATCCAGAAATGCCACTGGATTGCTTTGCTATCGTCAGTAAAGGCAATAAAAACTCATGATAGTGGAAAGGCGTGAAGGACGTATTTGTGAATAGAGCGCCCGTATCATATTCTAACACACTCGTTAGGTGTAAACTGTGATATATGCATCGCCCTATTGTTCCCACACAGATATTAATGTAAGAAAACATCCCGAAATACAACAATCCCATGACTGGCGCGAATGAATGATGTGCAACGTTTATTGTTAAAAATATCTTGCAGTTTGAATTGCTTGTCAAGCAGAGTCGCTCAATATCAAGAGTCTCTTCTCTCTCTACTGAAAAACTGCCACAAACAACTGACTTTCATGGGCGCTGCCATCATGAAAAACACTTCTCTCTAGCGGAGAAATTATTTACTATTATACCTAGCCAGCTAAGCCTTGATTCTCGTGTGAACGCTGCGGGTTCTGTTACTGTTAGCACGGTATTTCAGCCGAATTCAGCACCAGATAAATACGGAACCAGCGAGGCCGTGAATCTCGTGTGAACGCCGCTATAGCTTGTAGCTTGTAGACACATAGTAGTACAATAGTAGTACGTAGTTGTACACGTAGTAGTACACATTAGTGCATCACATGATAAATCGTTGAAATTCTATTGGATAACGTCGCAGATACTATGAAACAATACAGGCGGGCACTATTGCTTGCGCGACGCATTGTTATTATAACGCATTGTGTTTTAATACAAATTGAAATTGTTCGTCTAAGAAACTTTGTCTTATTCACTTCATATTTGCCGAGTAGATTGCAAAGTCATGTGATGCACTAAAAACATTAATGCCTGTTGTTGGGGGCACTATGAGAGCATATAGTGCCCCCAACAACAGGCATTAATATATAATTAGTAACAATCAAGCAAACAATGCAAAATAAACAATGCAATGCGCACCAACTGCCGATAAAATACGTAGACTGGTTCGCGCTCGACAGTTCCACTCACATTACACTGGAACTGTCGAGCGCGGACCAGTCTATAAAATATGCGGCTTCAGAAATTCGATATTTAGCGTTCACACGAGGAAATGCGCGGTCCAAGAGATCCGGTATTTCTCAAGCACGGCAAATCATTCGGGGTCTGGGAAGCCGCGTATTTCAACAAATACCGGATCTGTTTAGATACCGTATTTCTTGGACCGCGCATTTTACCTCATGTGAACGCTAAATACCAAATTTTTTGCTACGTGTGAACGCGGCTATATTGTATCAATAAATCTATATACATATACGCATGGACTCGACGGATACGAATGGTCAGCTTGTATTGACACGTACATTGTATCAATAAATCTATATACATAAGCTGCGTTCACACGATATCAAGAGTAGATAATAACACATTGTGTTATTATCTACTCTTGACGATATACACGGCCTCACTGGTTCCGTACTTATCTGGGGCCCGTTGTCAGAAAAAAATTAGTCTTAACATTAACTTAAGCTTAACTTTTTGTCTTAACATTAACTTAACATTAACTTTTTCTCTTAAAGCGTTGCCAGAAACTTCGTAAAGTTAAGAGAATTAAAAATTCTCGTAACCTAGACCCTCCCTTAACTTTAATAATAAGTTGAAAATAACACATTTACACTACGAATTACAATTATAGTGATATTATATTTTATAATAATGGATAAAATGTGTGTTTTTCTTGAAAAACACGTCAAAATCAATCTTACTATAAATTGGAGATTTTCTGTGTGTGTGTATGTGTTTCCGGCTATACGTTTCCGCACAGCTCAACGGATCCTCTCCAAACTTGGTACGAACATTCTACAGATCATGACACGTTGCATGGGCTATTTTTTTTTTCTTCAGTTTTATTGTTTTCACATTCCACGTTCAAAAACATTAAAATAGTGGGAAATTTTTGCATGGCAACGTCACAACAACACGAAAACACGACGCCACCTATCGGATCTTATATGTGTTAATATTATTTTAATTTTTTTTTTATTATTATTATTATTTTTTTGACCACCGAACGGGCATGGACGGGTATGGCTAGTCTACCGCTAATAAAACAAAACAATACATTTACAAATGACGTAAGGCATTTGTTCTCTTGTTTTAAAGGTTTGCAACGCTTGCCACGATTCTCGCGTCTCGCGTTACAGTGTGAGAATTTGTCTTGTTGTGCTAGAATAAATTCATGACCACGTAAACCACGTTAATTTTTCATCAAATATTATTTATATGTGGTGTAGCCATCATAATATGCATAAATTACTGTGATGTACAATAAATGTGTATGAATTTGAATTTTGTGTATGCGATTCTCATCCAATCAGCAGCCTTGTGACATGAAATTATGAATTTCATGTTATCGTAAGTTTTCACTTAAGTAAGTTTAGTTTAAGTTGGTTTCTGGCAACGCTATAAGATTAACTTAACATTAACATTAGACTTAAAATTAATCGTAACTTTACGAAGTTTCTGACAACGGGCCCCTGGTGCTGAATTCGGCTGAAATACCGTGCTACCACAACACTTGGAGCGTTCACACGAGAATCGAGGCTTAGCTGGCTAGGTATAATATAGACTGGTGACCCG